TTTAGTGAATAAACTTGAATGATAAGGCGATATCAGCGATTGATTGATTGTGTGCGATCAATTCACACTTGCTTACATCAATGACAATGGCAAACTCACCATTCCGTTGTTCCATCAGCTCAGTCGAATTTGACACGATCGTCGACTCAAATTTGCTGCATTCATCAAATCATTCGAAGCAATTTGTTCCAATCGCAGTGTTTTACGCTACTTATTCAGGCATTCAGTAGACCGACCCACTAACGATCAAAGAATTGAGCGCTTGTGCAGCAACAAAAATATTATTATTTAAGCAAATTTTGATCTGCGACTACGAACAATAAGCAATGAGCATTTCAGAGATGTGGTACTTGAATTTTTGCAATATTTTGATGAATCGAAAATAATCCGTCCACATATGAACTATTGAGCTGAAAGCGTCCACCTCATCCTGAAATTAATTTCAGGTCATAAACGATATTGCAAGTGGAAAGATTGCATGTGTGCTAAATGCACATTGATAGCTGAGAGACAGCGCGTTATGGCAGCTCAGGTCGCGCTAAGACGGCAGCAGAGTCAAGATGAAAAGGAGGCGAAGGATCTGGAAATGCTACTGAGTGTTGGAAATGGTACTTTTATTGTAGTGTTTTTAATAATTATTGCAACTATTATTATTATTATTATTATTATTATTATTATTATTATTATTATTATTATTATTAGGATTGTTATTATTATTATTATTATTATTATTATTATTATTATTATTGTTATTATTATTATTATTATTATTATTATTATTATTATTATTATTATCATTGTTACATATTTATAGCTATAATACATTAGAAGTTTTAATTGATTTTTGTCTTCATCGACTGATTAAATATTGTGACTAATTTTCGCGATAATTCATTGTTTTACATTAAAAAGTGATCAATTTTTTATGATTCTCCCAAAAATTAGGTCGAATATTTTTATTTTCTTAGAGGTAATCTGACCGATTTGATCGTATTTTCAAGCAAATCAACTGCTGAACCTGATTCGATATGGGGAATCGACAACGTCGAGTGTGAGTTTATGTGATGGTGATAGCAACTCGAAAGTGGATAGTGTGCAGGGGAGACACGCAACGGCGATTGACTATGCTCAGGCCGATGGTGGCATCACCAGAGGTTTGTTAGACACTGTAATTATTCATTGCTAACTTCGTGTTCCAGTGTCTCCTTCAACATAAACTTATGACGAAACGCCATTTTTTAAACCTCTTCCTCCCTTCTTCTGCTTTGAAAATCCTATAATTGTTAACGATAAATGAAGAAACTGACCTATGGATCAAAAAGGTTTCATTCGATATTTTGTCAGCGATTTTAAACGAATCAATTTATGGAGATGGAATAACTTTGAACATTCTGAGAATATTTTTGCATAATTACAAACGAATCACAAATGAAAAGTCAATTGCCTTCGATTGCCCCTCTCTTGTGCTACCCTGAAGTGTCCATCCGATTTACCTGAGAAATACTCCTACGCTTAACGATGTTCTCTTAGCAAATGAGCACTGTGACGTATTGCTCTGAGTGGCTGATTATTTAATTAACACACAATTTATATATTTACTTACAATAATAACAATAATATCGATAATACCAATAATAATAATAATAACAATAATAATAATAATAATCGA